AAAATGAATAATATTATACTTACATGGTCTAGTTGGAAGATTAATTGGTTCTTCAAGTTGTTTCAATTCTACTTCTATCTTTTTAATAGTAGAATACTTATGCAACATTAACTTCATTATTTTCTTTATAAATCCAACATAATCTGTAACAAAACCATATAATTTGCTGAAATTATGTTATAATTTATAATTAAGTAATTATAAATTATATGTTATAATTATTAAAAAAAATTCTTTTAAAATAGCAACATGGAATATAATGTGTAATACTTTAAAGATTAATATTAATATATATATTACTTTAAAGATTAAAATTATCTTATATCCATACATTATAATAAATCAATATTCTATAATTAAACTTAATAGTTTAATTATAAAAAATTATTTTTAATTATAAAGTATATCTATGCTTATAGATTATTATTATACATAACAATTTCAATAAATTTAAAATAATCTTTACCTCTTGGAAATTCCTTGGGGCTAACTAATTCCCTAAAGAATTCTTGTGCCACACTGGGATGTTCTATCTCTGAAAGTGTATCTACAAACCAAAACTGAAGAGTTCTGGATTCTTGTGTATGTTTTCCACTTTGAGCACTCACTAAGAATACTCTGAATTGTAAGCAAAGATGTGCTGGATGAACTTCTCCATTTGTTACTATAAAAATTTTGATATTTTTTTTATATTAATATTATTTCAATGTACTAAATAATTATAAAATTTTATGTACCAGTAATTGCTTGTTTATTAATAACTATTCCTTTATGATCTCCTCCAGCAACATGAACATTATTCTCATTTCCATTTTCTGTTGGTGGTTCTAAAGTCTGCCTTTCTATTATAATAGTTGTAGAATTTGCAGTTTTAGATTTCGGAGTCATGACAATGTGTTCTAATAAATGAAAGAAAAAAAATTAATCAATTGATATAAATTAACAATTATATATAAAAAATAAATAAATAAATAATAGAATTATAACAATTATTTATTATTCTATTTAAAACATATTTAAAAATCAATTTAAATTCTATAAATATAAAAATTGTTAACAGCTGTTTTTATCACATACTCTAATTATACATTATTGCGTAAAAAATAATTCATTATATTAAATCGTAAAATTAAATTTTATGTTTAAATAAATTTATCATTAAAAAATTCATTTTATATACTCACCTGTCTTTTTATCATCCATCTTAGATATTTTTTACTTTATCTTTTATCTTCAATTTTTAAGTAATTTTTTTATTGCATTAAGTAAATAATAGATAACAAGAGGAACATTTAACAAAACTAATCTGCTTGAACTCGTCCGTCCAACAACAACTATCGTTCTCTACTGCTCGACTTTTTAATCGCCTTCGTATTCGTTACTGTCCCACCACAGTACTTGCGCCTGTCAAAACGAAATATATAACCTCTTTATTCTTTCTAGTCAACCTTTCCTGGATATAATAAAAGTATATCTTTAAAAGGTAATGCATAATAGAAAAAATGCACAAAGTTCATTAGCACAAGAATTAGGCGGTGCTAAGTGATCGACTTGAATACTCATCGAAACAGTTATCGATCGAATTGGTACGATACATGCCACCGCCCTACGCCATACTTATATTTAAGTATGACACAAATTTCAATATGTCATTTGTTTTTTTAAGTATAAATGGTATATATTATAGCTGTTATGATGTCCTATTTACATTCAATAAGCATCACAATCATATATTACATATATGTATATGTATTTCTATTTATTATATAAAAAATTCTATTATTAATATCATTCATTAAAAATACACTACAATCAATACTATCTAGTAAATAAAAATAACATAAATAAATATAACTTAATAAAAAATAACTTCCTTTATAATACAATATTTTGTTAATAATTATTTTTTATAATTATAATTATTACAATTTTTGAATCATAAATCTTAGTATATTAATATATAGACAATTTAATCTCAATTTATTTATATTTTTTATATATTTATATTTATTAAATAATATTAAATATAATATTTGAAAATAATTAATTATATAAAATAATTGTAAATAATTATAATATTTCATATCGTATAAGAAAATATTTAAATATATTAAATTTAATATTAATAGAAAATTTATAAAAATAAATTATGTTAAATTAATAATAGAAAAATATTATTTTATAAATTATGATACATTCACAATATCACTGTAATAAATTTGAAAGATATATATTAAATCTTAAGAATCATGCTTTACGAACGATCAGAACGCTATCTCAGTTCTTTACAAATATCATAAGTTGGTCAGCTTGTTGCTGTTTTTATGTATCTAGTAAAAAAATTTGAATAAGAATTGTGGAATTAATTTCATAAAATTTATCAATCATACGTATAAAATTAATATACAATTTTTATCAGTATATATCTAAAAATTAATTTATTTAATATCAATTAATTTATTTTATTTAAATATTTGAAAATATTACTTATTAATGTACAATTAATTATACAATTATTAACTTACAAATTATATTACTTATTTAATATATTAAATTTCATCAAAAATTCATAAATATATTTTTGAATATTTTATACATGATTTTATAGTATGATATAATAAAAAATTGCAATATATAATTTTTTATAATTTATTCTGTACTATTCTTTTTTTATGTATATATTGAAAATATTTATGACCTACATTAATCGATAATTAACATACAATGGAAATTTTATTTGTATTTGAAATTTATCATATTTCAATACGAAATTAAAAATAGTTACATATTTATGATATAGTTCTTTTTATAAAATTTCTAGTTATTTTTAAAATTATTTAAAAATATGAATTTGTTTTTTATTGATAGTTAATATTAAAAAATTTATAAATTACGATTTTATTTAAATTTTTTTCTTTTTATTAAATTTAATTCTCTGGATATTTTTTATTTACAATGATTAATTTTGATTAATTAAAATAATAAATGCATTTCATTATTTCACAATAATTTCTATTATTAATCAAATTTAATTGTTCAAAATAATTGAAATGAATTTTATTTTTATAATTAAATCTTGAGGATAATATATTTTACTATCATAATTGTACTCGTATCATATTTTTCAAATCGATCATTTTGATATTTCGAATTGTGCATCATGAAATAGATTTATATTATTGTTTACTATTTTTTTTTAAAATAATACAAAATTATATATAATATTTATTATGTGTTTAAATTACATTTTGTGAATTTTAAATCTAAAATCTCTTTTTGATAATTGAAAGAAGTGTTCAAATTATAAAAGAAAATTTATTGGTTATAAATTCAATAATGATTAATACATATATATAAAGAAACATATAAAAAAAAATATATTAATATATTGAATAAGAATGGATTTATATATTGAATTAATTATAGATTAAATAAATATAATTTTTAAAAAAAATAAATTTTTTGAAATTAACAAAATAATACTATTTAATGTATTGTATATACGTTTATATGTAGATAAGCCGACTCTTTGATTTGTCAGGACGTCAAAGCAATGCCACGTACTAGGCTTTAAAGTTGATTCACGCTCTTACTGAAGAAGATTACGATACATTTAATCATATAACTTCGTAGAACGCGTATTTCGAAGCGTTTAAGCATTTTTTATATTTGTGCTAAACTATTATCTTGTATGTAGTGTGTGAAAAAAATTTGATTCGAATTGGACAAATAAAATATAAACTCTTTCAAAATGTAATATTCTGTAAGTAAAGTTTAATTGCGTTTTATTTTATATGTTTCATTCGTTCGTTAGTAATGATGAGAAATATGAAAATATATAATAATCATTTATCACGATGTCAATATAACCTATGTTAAATTATGTTGAAGAAAATATTTAGATTTAAAAAATAAATTTTTGCTTTTAATAAGTATTTTGAGACAGAAAAAGAAATATATATTTATTTGATTCAATATATATATCTATTTTTTTGAAATTGTTGATTTCTAAAATTATATCTAAATTTATTGTATTATTTATTTTCTAAATTTATTATTATTATTTACTTTTTATTCGAAATTTTATTTCAGAATATAACAACAATGAGAAAAAGAAGTTAACTTTTTTAATTCAAAATTCTGTAAAATATCATATGTACGATATGTAATTCTCGGGGAATTCCTTTGCATGCAGTTTCATAAGCGTGACCATGATAATTATCGAAACGAACTAGAAAAAAGAAACGATATTTAAACAAGGATCGAAGATCAGTTTAATTCATTATGACCAATCCTATAATTTATATCAAGCGGTAAACGATAATCTAAATATTAAATTTCATGAAAGATTTCTCGGAATGTGCTGAAACTAAATTTTTATATAGATTATATCGTTTCTATCGTATATATAGACAATAATTATTTTATAATTACAAGGATACGTTATATCATCTAGTTAAAGTTTTATTAAAAAAATGATATTACTTATTTTCATTTTTCATGAATGTACACAAATTTAATTATACAGCATAGAAAAATTTTCCGTATTCATTAATCATGCTTTGTCTCACAACATTTTTTACATTAATGTCTTTGTTATAACATTCGTTATGTAAAAAATGGTAATTCCATGTATGAATTCATCGGATTTAAAAGGAAATTCAAAAGGGAAAAACTTGTGAAAAGAAATAAATAGATTGAAAATTCTTAAATATTAGTCATTTAAATGGATGAGCTAAGAAGCATCTCATTATCAAAACAAGTTTGAAACAAGTTACTTGGAATAAATTTTAAATTTTCGAAAGAAGAATATTTATAAAAAATATTTATTTAAATACGTAGGTATCAAATATCAATATTCTATTCATAACATTCATTAATTATATTTTTTATAATTATAAATTTAATTATTTATTTATATTTATATATTTTATATAAATTATATTATCCTTATTTTTATCCTAAAGAAAAAGATATTTTTAATTTAAAATTTTTATCAAATCTCAAAAACTTTAATCTGACACTTATTATAGCAACAGGATTGTCATTTTGAGAGGATTATAAGTGTAGAATAAAAGTGGAAATGTGTCATCATTCCTTCAAGAAGAAATTTTTACAGTAATAGTAAATAATGTTTTTAATATTTACTATAATATAAATATGATATATTATATTTTGGAATAGAATATTGTTTAAAAAGGTAAAAAAAGAAATAATAATCAATGTATAAATATAATAAATATAATAAATACGTCAAGAATGTCGATTTATAAAATAACATTTAAAGCACTAGAATATTACACCAATTTTAGGATACCAAATTAAATTGAATATTTTAAAAATAGAAAAAATATTCGAGAATTTCTTTGACATTTGAGATCGTACGAGAACTACCAATGAATCGATCTGATTGTTTTCTTTCGATAATGTCTTATCTTTTTCAGGAACGGATCTATAATTGGTGATCATCTCTTTCGTTCTTTCATTTTTTTACGTGTTTAGACACATGGATATTATTATTATACAATTTTTTTATATATTATTGACATTATAGAATCGATAGTAAAAGCATGAAAAATATTTTCCTTTTTATATAATAATATTTAAAATATCATCATAATCCTATAAATCAAAATAATATTTTAATTTTATAACAATGTTTAGAATATTCATTCTCGATAGATGTTATAAATTCGATGTTTCGAAAGGATCAATTAAAACCAGTTCCTATAGATTGAAAAACAGGATTTGGGATAAGCAAATTATGTATTTTTAAAAATTTTTTCTAAAAATTTTATCCTGATAATCTATTCTCTTTTTTCTTAGAAAAAGACATTGAAAATGCATAGAATGATTGTAATATTTTAGATATATTATAATATGCTTTTCTATAATTTATAAGCATATTAGTTAAAAATAACTTATTTTTATCGAGAATGAATCGGTATTTATTTTTTTGAGATTGGAAGAAATTTTCAGTTCTAGAGAATTCATAAAAAAAATTCATCCAGTTTTGTGACAGCAATCGTACAAATTGATCGCTCGAATCAATGATTGAATTAATAATTTTAAATAATAAAAAATAATAATAAAATCTCTATTATGTTTAACGCATAAAAATCTAAATTAAATCAAAATTTATTGAAAATTAAAGTTTTGAATATTATTATTATATATATTCATGTTATTAAGTTATATTAATAATTAATCAGATTAAGAATTCACAGAACTTTGTATTATTGTATGACTCATTCTTGATTATATATATATATGATAATCGATATAATATTGATATGTAATAAAAAAACAAATTGAAAAAAATTTAATCTATGATAGTATAGATATCAAATGTAAAGACATTTATTTATCTGATAATTAATATTATCGTAGAATTTAATAGTTTTTATGTGTTTGCAGATGTTAAACATTTAGATGGAAGGATCATCGTTCTAATAAATATCTAGAAAAAAAAAAAAAAACGTTGAACGATAATATTTCAAACATATAAAAGTAAGCAATATTCTTCTTTGAATGTTTTTGTTACCATTATAATTTATAATTAACATTAATTTACAATAATTGACATTAATTTATAATTTTTTGAAATCACATTAATACATTGATAGAAATTTATTTTTCTTTTTCTTTTTCAATCGTTTCTATCGGATGATGTTAAAACATCATCCACACACATCCACAACAAATGTACAATGAAAAGAATTAATAAAATAACAAGATCCACGATGCAGTTGGAAGAAGAGCTAAGATTATTGGATATTAACCCATGTGTCAAATGTACTGGAAAAAAGAATTGATTTACGATTGTTTAAATAAGGATCAAAAGAAAGTATATAACAATATATGCAATTTATTTAAGAAAAAGGACAATGCAGTTATTGTGATTAACACTCCAAGCGGGACTGGTAAAACATTTCTTTTATCTACTTTCGTTGCAAATTACGAGAAAAACGTAACGTATATTACATTCAGAAAAGACCAAGCAAGTGAAATTTCATTGAAGAAGATTAAAACATACACGTACATATCTTTTAATATGCATTATTTCAATCTATCATATTATGGTGCGATTCAAATGTTCAGATCGTGCGGATATGACGAAGTCGAAGAACTTCATAATTTAATAGTATCGTCTAAAAAATTTGCCTGTAAAGACGCAGCTATTTTTATTATAGATATATATACTATACCATCGCCAAATATGTTGCTTCTGTTATATATACTGTCGCTTAAACATCGACTGCATTTAATTTTTGCTGGATATCACATGCAGTTAAATGGAATCGATAAATCTTTATATCATAATGAAAACAATTTTCACATCATTCAGATATTCAATGATTTGATGATAAATCAATTAACTAATACACGAAAGTGTGATGCCGTGCTTGAAGATAAATTAACGCGTTTTCGTAAATTTATTCAAGAATTCCAACCTGTTGGAAATATCCAATTTTATTATAATTTACGTTACTTTTTTTATTCTCTTTTTCGATCAAAATATTTCACCGAGGAACGTTTTGATACTCTTTATATAGCTCAAACTCATCGTAAGATTACAATGCGTTTATCTCGTTTCATTCAATATCTGAAGTCGATAGGAAAACCGTATGTTGAAGCGCCATATTTTTATCGGAATTTAGATGGTTATATCGTGTCACTTTTTCCGAAACGCAAAGTACGAAAAATGAAATTTTTTCCTACTTTGATATTAGTAGAAGGATATAAATATATATATATTAATGAAGATGGCGTTCACAATATTGTTATATTGGAAAATATAGTATACGAAGATATTGAAATTAAATGTTTAAGAATACGTTTTGAAAATAATTATAATCGTGTTGAAGAAATCAAACAAACCAGACTTAATTATTATCAGATTTTACCAGCTTACCGTCTTTGGTTATTGAGGGATGTTATACATACAGATGAATTATGGCAATTTCCTTTGCGTCCTTACACGCTAACATATCATGCTGCTTTAGGACGAACAATTGAAAAAGTAAAAGTAGAGTTAAGTATTGAACATTTTGCCAATTTTTTGTATATTGGTCTTAGTTGCGTACGTCACGAATCTGATATCCATAAAATTCATGATGAACAAAATCTTTTAAGCTATATGGTAACAGATTATATGGAAAATGTACGAAATGATACTGAATATTATTACAATTGTCCAGTGATAACATATGATAAACAAGAAATTTTGGCATGTATTATTAATAAAAAACCTAATGAGTTTATAGATAATATTCAGTGGACAACTGTGAATTCTATATATTTATTTGAAAAAAATATAGAATTTTTACGTATTGCGCGTAATGTATATCAAGAATCACTACTTCAAAATAAAAAAAAAGTGAATACGCCATTGATGCAAATTGCAAAATTTGTCAAAAAAAATCCAAATGTGATACTTGAAACGATTAAAATGGCAAGTGTCAATGAAAATAAAAACATTAATAATAAAAATAAAAAAAAAAGAAGAAGAAGAAGCAACAGCAGAAAGAAAAAAATAAAGAGTGCAAAGAATGTGAATCATTAGTTTATTTAAGAAATGAATATCATCAATGGCTTGTTGCAACTGAAAAAAGCGATTAAAAATTCAGGAATAAACATAAAAAAATTGTTATTTTAATTTTGAAATTAATGTTATTCAAAGTATTAATTTTTTAAAGAACAATAACTTAATATTTTTTTATTTATTAAAATTTATAATATATCATAGAATTAGCTTTATATTTGATTTTTTATATTTTTATGCATTATTTTTTGTCATTTTTTTGAAGGAAAATATTGTTTTTTTAGTTATTAATATATATAATATATATATGTACATTATATACATAAATATATATTGTAAAAAAAAATTTAAATCATATTATTATTAAAATAACATGAAATTACTTTCATCAATTCTTAAAACTTAATAATAACAATTTGTGTTTAAACATTTAGTTCTAAAGAAGTATGAACAATATGAATGTTTTATTTTTTATTGCAAAATATTGTTGCTATTTATTATTATGTATATACATATACATATATATATACATAAATAGAGAGAGAGAATATAAGATATATAATATTATAAAGCACTTTTTAATTATATTATTTGCAAAATTGTAAATAATATATATTTTTTATCATCTTTATCATGTTATTAATAAATATTTGGATAATAATAAATTTTTGAAATATTAAATTTTTGAAATATCAAATTTTAATTTATTTATTTATATCCTATATTAATTAACAAGATAAACATTTAATCAACAAGAAAACATATATTAAAAAGCAAGATATTATTTATTATTACTATAAAACTATAAGACTGATTTATTTTTTTATTGATTTTTAAAAATGATAATATATGATACATCATATTTGATGTATAATTATATTAAAAATAAAATCAAATTATTAAAATATTATTTATATTTAATATAATTATTAACTTATATTACTTATAATATAATATAATATATATATATATATATATATATATGTTATATAATATAATAACATAATAATAATAATTTTTTTCAAATACAAAAAATATAAAATTTGTATCTGTAATTTGTATAAAATTAAAAAATAATTCTAAATAATTTATAAAAAGCGCCATAATAAAAAATTCGATTATCGATATTATATTACTGCGCAACTTTGAAATAAAAAGTAAAAGTTTATTCAATTTAATGTTGTAAATATTAGTGATATTAAATTATAAAAATAATTTTAAATCATGATTTCACGTGAAAATTATTTTCAAGATAACAAACAAACATTGAATTTATAATAAATCTTATATTAATTAAATATATTTATACGTTTTTTTTACAATTTTAAATTTTAAATATTATTCATTTTTCATATTAATTAACATAATTACAAAGTTATTTCATTCAAATCAAATGTTATTTAACTATATAACATAACAAATTGAAAATAATGATAATAACAAACGAATAATTATATTTTCAATAGATAACCTGAATCATTTAATTGAAATAACGAACTTTAAAAAAATGTCCGTAGCATAATGGTAGGAGTGGGGAGGGCACGCGTGTTCGCCGGGTAGCATGAGTTTGACAGCAAGCAAGGGTGGCGCGCAGACGATTATGGGGAGGGGGAATGCGCCGTCAGTATTTCACGAACCATCGAGGAGTACGGATCGTGTCTTCGTGTGAATCGCTCGTATAATTCGTTGACCAAAAATATTGTTAACATTCGTTATATACTCTTCGTTTCGCTAATCGTGCTTTATTATTCAAATCATAAAATTTTTTCATCGAAAAATGTACATGGTCGGTAATATCGCTAATTATCAACTATCATTTGGATAAATAGATATTTATAATGATTATCGTTTGTGCCGGTAAACGTTGCGAGGTAGTTCTTGAGATATGCAATCGTTGACGTGTATGCAGAACGAATCTACGCGTGATCAACGATTTTGGACCGCAAAACACGAATTACAATCTCGCTGGTGTCGGCTAAAGAGTTTGTCTGGTAAAACGAGACGGCGTGGCGTCTGTATCGGGAAACGACGTAGTTGTGTCTCGCGTACGGATTAGAACGCGAGTGAATGATTGTTGGAGAGTGGTAAAAGAGGCGGGATGAGTGCGAGAGAAGTCACCCTCATCGGCGGCTCCCCTTGGGGATTCCGTATGCATGGTGGGCATGACCTGCATCAACCCCTTCGCATCTCTAGAGTAAGTCTATTCATCGACTATTTTACGATTAACGGTTTTTTGAATGTAGCTGAACTGTAAACATTAATCATTTAACGTATACTACGTAAGAGTGTATTGTTTCTACGCTTCAATGTTAAAGATATTTATTGTGTTGACCATAGATATATTAAATCAATTTCGTGGTAACGAATCTTTGTACTGTTGTCATTCTTTGCTTATCACTGAGAACTGTTTAGATTTAACAATCTAATTATTATTTTTCTGTACAAATAAAATTTATTTTCTTATTTTATTTGTTCATTATTTTGGAGAAAATTTATATATCACGAAAATATATAATATGAAATATATACAAGTTGCGATATGAAATTAGCTGTTAGTAGTTCTTCGTAAAGTAAAAATTTTGCACGAACTTCAGATTGCTCGAAAATTTAGATTCAATTGAATTATTATATCGAATACATGTAAATTTAGAAAGATATAGCAAAATAAAATAATATTGATAAAAAATACTTATTTCGAAATCTTTGATGCCAGAAAGATATTAGAACGTAATTTATTATATGCTATAGATATTTATTGAATCGTCGATATTTTCAACGTTGCCAATAGATTTTGGCACTTGGCACGAACAAATGAGAAACATCGATATAGGGCCATATAATTCCGCAGTATGTTCGTTACACATATAGTTAGAATTATCGAAAGCGGTTTGGCGCTTGGTTAAATTTAATGCCGATACCTTTTACGTGCGTACGTTCTAACATCGTTTACGAATCCATTAATTTACATCGATAGTTTATGTTTCTCGATAGATATTGTTTCGATAACGGTTTCTATCCATTCGAATATTTCGATATTCATTAATTAATTTTGAATATTTTTTTTAATTTCGTAGAAGGATCTTTTATTTAGGTTATTGAAATTTTTTTCTCTATATTTCTTTTTATTGAATAAGAAAAAAAATTCGATTAGAAATTGTATAAAGATATTTGTGAATATAAATTAATGTAGAATTGTGATTATCGATATCGATAATAATATAAATCGTTTATTATAATAAATATGTTAATATTATCGATAGTATTGTAGAGATATGGCTAATGGATGAAATTTTTTATTTTTTCTTTTTCAAGTTATTATTAAACTTATAACCAAAAAAAAAAAAAAAAACTTTTTTATATGCCTTAATAATAATTTTGAATAAGAAAAAGAGATTTCTATTTGTTAAAGATATTTTAACGATATTATCGATATCGAAAAATATCAATAAGACATCGATATCATATCGATAATCGATAGTCGCAATTTAGATTGACGCGTAGAAGACATGAATAATGTGAAAAAAAGTTCAATGATTTTGAACGATCAAAAAGTGGAGGTTTAGTTGATAGAAGTTTATTTTTTTCAACATATTTATTTTCTATAAAATAGATTTCATGATTGTCGTGTGCTCAGCTCGTACAGTTTAATTATGTCGTGTACGTATTTGTCGAGGTCCTTTCCAAATTCGATTTGTGTATTTGAATTTCATGTTGGAAGATTTTTAAATATTTTTTGTGTTTCGTGAATAGATATTAATTCGATTTAATTAAATATGTTCATCGCGATTTGTGATAATGTAAAATGAATAATCGTCTGTTTCGAGGTTATATTTTTGTCATTTATCGACAGAGAAAAGTTTCAAGCATTTCGTGTATTTAAACATTCATCATATATCTATGAAGGTAAACGAAATATCATAGTTTATATAGTTTATGTAATTTAGATATTTTTAGATGTTAATTTAGAATTTTCCTCGCTATTATTTATTTGATTTAGTTTGATTCAAATATATAAAAATATACCTATCTTTTTTAATAAAAATTTATAATTTTTATTTATTTAATACTCGTTTTGTTTCTTCATAGTATATCTTTCCGTTTCATAGATCATACGATGAATTAAATGGCGTTTTATATTAACGAAATTGCCTACATGTTGCATTTTCACACGCGTAGTTTAATTGTATTTGTCAATTTATATTTTATTTAGTTATGTTTGAAAAAATTTTTTATTATTTATATAATATTTGTTATTTTCAACCATTTAATTTTTTTGCGTTTATAAACTAATATATTCCTTTTATTATAGATTAAATATGTTATAAAATAATTATAAAAATTTTATAAAACATTTCAATTTTAATAACTTGATTCAAATAATATTTTTTTTTTTTTTAGCAAACAAAAAGATAACGATTGAAAATTGTGCTTAAATTTACATCAATTAATTCGCAAAGAAATGATATAAGATAAATGATTCGAAACAATTCGAGTACAATGTCGAATTACTTAGGCACTATAGAGATATATAATGAGTAATAGTTTCAGGTAGTTATTCGAATGTCGGTTACTATCAAGGTTATAATGTAACCTACTGCGTAACTTTCTTGTTTCGTGTAGAGGTACGTATTCATAACACTATGTCTATAGTAAAACATAATGCGATTCAAATAACTTAGCTAGTTTTTAAACTTTTAGTTTGCTGAAAATATATAGTATATTATAAAAATTTAAATATTATGTTAAATATTTTTTATGTATTAATAAGATAAAAACATTTAATAGTTCTAATGTTAAATGCATTATATATAAATTTGTAAATGAACAATAGATATTTGGAAAAGTAATAATTTATACACGATATAAATTGTAATTGTGTATAATAAAATTTGCTCTATAAATCAGGTAATCGTTTGACATAAACGTTGGGAATGAATGATTTAGGTATTTGATTAATAATAGCTGAAAATGGACGTAGAATGTAATCAATGTTAATTTTTAATTGTCGAATTGATGTAATTATGAATGTATTAATCTTGGTAAATTGAATGAAAAATTTTGAAGAATGACATTTCATAGAGAAAAATATTAAATATAAATCGTTATATAAATTCGTTATTTTAATTGAAATGATTGATGTAAATTTATTCAAGGAATCGTTCCATATTCTTCAATTTTTAGAAATTCTGTAAATATTCAAAGAATGACTCTCGATTTCTTTTGGCCTTGTACAAGTTTTTTTGTTGAACGATTTCTGTTTCGACATTCACATATCCATGAATAATTAAATATTTCTTATTTTGCAAGTTTGTAGTTTTATTCAATTATTTTCTTCTCGTTAAATTTGTATAATTTTTTACGTTTTAAAAAAAATATCGTGATATTTATAACATAGGAGATTTTTTTACACGAATTGAGATAATCGTAAGTGACATTCATTGATTTCTTGATATGAATATATCGATATTATATTCACAATATTATTTTACATAAATTAAAATATTACAAATTACTATTTAAATCGTTACCGTTCTGTTTATAAATTCAACTTTCCAAGTATCTAGGTATTTTTAAAATAGAAGTGACGATGATGCAAGAGAATAAAGTTTTTGCATCTGTCACGATTAAAGATTCAGAATATTGGCATGCAATGTTTCATGCAAGAGAAGACAAAAAAAGAATGAAAAGAAATTTATAAACGTTTAAATTAATAATAATTAGAAAATCCGTGTGTTAGGTGAACAGAATATTAAACGATTAAAGAAGGAGAAGCGTACAAATGAAGCCGGGTTGTTAAGTGAACTTTGCTTTTTCCTGAGAAACGTCTCGGATCGGTCGTGAAAATTGGTTACAGTCCTCTTTGACAATGTAAGCTCTGTTTTCCTCGGCCCTCCTGTTCCCTCTTTGTCCTGGAACCGCCCACGTCAAAAAGATGAACGGCAAAAGACACAATGAACGCCTTTCATTCGCGCGATTTATCACAAAGTTGAATATCGTCGGTGCTTGGTGGAGAATAATACTTTTCCTCCATCTTTTGTCATTCATGTTAAAAGGAAGATGAAGAAGAAAAAAAGAAAAAGCAGGAAAAGTGTATAATCGATAACAGCTTTCGCGATATGATGGAACATGCATACAACTGCTGCGTTGAAAAGGATATTTATTTTATAGAAATTTTTTTTTTAAACCTAGAGCTACCAAAATGACGATTTTTTTATTTTATAATTATTGGAAATATGGTATGAATTTTGAGAATATTAATATTGTTGAAAAAATTCCATCCTTTTTTTTTGTTCGTGGTCGTATTGAAAAATAAATTCCTCATCGATATTCATTATGTTGATCTTAATAGGCATTTCTGATTTCATTCTTCGTAAACTAAAACGTTTAAAATATTAAAAATATATCTTTGTGTATCTGGTTTCATCATTTATTAATAACATCACCATTGAGAGTTTTAATACGGTCTAATAATTCATAATCTTCTTACGAAACAATTTTCGGGATTTAAAATGATATTGTAATTCTGTTTATTTTATTTTTTTTTTTATGCGATGTTTTCTTCGATTTAAAAGCAACGTGGATTATTTAATGAAAGGATTATTAAATGTTTTTAATTATGAATCTTTATTAAATTCCATTCATCAATTTAATGAAACTAATATCGTAATTTTCTTGACGCAAAGCTTAATGTTAATCGGCAATTAAAATTTCGTATAAATAGTATTTGAATTAAAAATTTATTTTTTTTTTTTAAGAAAGAAAATATAAAATAATCCTAAATTGGATAAGGAAAAAGTCAGTTCAACTCATTTCAAAAATAAGTTTGCACAAAAGTTCTAAATTCTAAACCGACATTCCATGAAAAATAACGCGTAGACAAAAATTTTAATTCGTATTTGTAACAAAAAGATAAAATTAGAAAGTATACTATAGTCATTAAATTTTAAAGAAAAACATTTTTCTCATTAACATTCACGCTGGAATTTTTTAACAATCGTACTACCCGCCATTTCCATCCTCTGTGTGCATTTTCATTGCGAAAGGAGGAAAAGCATTTTAATATTTTTACGCCTCCTTTGTGTGTTCACTTCACGAGGGAAATACGATGCGGACGTGTGTCCGTTAAAGGGGGATTAGTAGATACCCGAAGAGCGAAGTTGCGAGAGATTACATAGAGCGGGTGGTTTAGCAAATACGCAAACCCATTCTACCGTACTGCAATATCGGCTCGACATTTATGGCCCGTTGAATTAGAAATGCAACATTCGTTCGCGGTGTGTCGGATATTTTATGCCATTGAAACATATACTACCGTGATTTGCTCCTTTGGTTACGGGTTAATTTAAATTTCGATAGATTTAGATGAAGATAACTCATAGAAATTTCGTGTTTTTCTTAATTTAGATATTAATTGCTTAGAAATTATATAATTGCATTTTACAATATTTGTGTGTGTTACTAGAGAAGTGTGGCTAGAGAATTTTAGATAAATTTAATAAAGAATAATTTATTTATTTAGAAATTTTTATATTTACAAGGATTTATATATTCATTATAAGTTTTTGAAATTTTAAATTTGCGTTTAAATTAAAATCGAATATAAATCCATATCATGGATTTAAAAAAATTTTAGAAGGAGCAAAATGTCGAGTTTTCTGCTTATAAAGATCAATTTTAACAAGGTTTTTAAAACGCTTAATCAGAAACATCGCCTCGGCTATTATCTACGCTAATAATCATTAACACTTATCACCGGAAGTCGAACAGAGTGGATATTTATACATCGTCGTTAACCGCGATCGACATTGGCATTTTATTCAAGGTCACGAGAAATATACGTGTCTACATTGTGATGTAATGCGGTGTGCAACGCGCACTGTGCATAAACGTAAAACCACCTCGAGGTCTTCGTGTGCAATTAGCACGATGCATCGTGCACGATTGCGCAACAACCGCGAAAGGTGAATCGCGTTGTACGTTGACAGTTAGTTACATTAAGACGTTACGGTTGTTGCCACTGGCAATGTCAAGGAAGCTCATATTATATTTACCGTGTAACGTTGAAATATTAAGGGGAATAAGGAAGGATCGAATAATATAGTTTCTAGGATAGATACATAACCTCGTTTGAATATTATTATTATTATTGGTTGATAGTGACTTCACGCAGAATTTCACCGATAGTTCCTAGGGATTTTTTTTTGAAGTAGCAGTTCAATAGTGAAAATTACTTTGTAAAAATATTATTTTTGATTTAATTGTCTTAAATATATTGTAGAAACATTTTAATTTATAAAATATCTTTTTTCGTGTGCTTTTCTTAATAATCTTTATATCAAAGATTTTCAATGAATATTATTTCCACTAGACGAGCTTTCCTTTTAGATTGAATTTAATAGGATTGCAATGAAATCGGATTATTTGTCAATTTCATCGTTTGTTGTGCTGATTCTGAAACGCGTATTTATTGGATCATCTAATTTCGATTTGCCTACGTGTATGAAAATTACACAAAGATCATTAATAATTGAAATTATCGATTCTAAATATGCCAAATTATTCTTGTAATTTATTTTTTCAATCATTGACGGATAATCATTTTCCATTTATATCGAGTGCATATCGTTGTTATATGTCAAGCGATTAGGGAAATATACAGCTGGGAAAGAGGAACACGTGTTCGTATCGAAAAAACGATCAATGAATCACAACGCTTGACGTGATCGATCATTTCTCGATCGGTTCGTGAACTGTAAATACACTCTATTATTTTCGTTTCAAAATACAGGATAGGATTCTCAGGATACATTTACACAAATATTTCGTAACAATAAAAAAAAAATATGCAATATTTTACATTTTTATTTTATTTAACAAAAACTAAAAATAATTTATATTATTATATAAATCGTCCAACGAAGTGGAACGAAGTGAGTTTCATTCTTAACCTCAACTATCATAGATTCGTTTCAATCTTTAACGAAAGGAATATTTAATTAGGATTAAATCATTAGAGGGTAAAGTACAATTTCAATTACAAAGCAGAAGAGCATTAACAGCGATAAATTGTATGTTATACGTTGAAAGAGAATCGTTCTTGTGGAGAATTGATCAATTGAACGATGCGTTAGAAGACAACAATGAAACCATTGTTATTTATGAGGCTATTGTATCCATCTTGTTCCACCGTGCTTTGTGCTGTTTAAATCGACTGTACAATTGATAGTTTCTTACTGGCCGATAACGATGAAAAGTGAAAGATCAAACTATACTGTAACGAGTATATTATCAAATCCTTCTCCGTCCAGGCTTATCAATTTTTAATGACATGCATGCTTCAATTTGCGAATACTTTGTTCCATTTCTTTAATATTAACACAATAGCTCGATATTTTTAATTTGCAAATAAATCATAAACGCGTATTTTCCAAAGTAATTTGTTCCACGATAACGAAACCTAACCTCCAATGCTTTTCATATTTAAAAAATATCTTTCGATCGTTAATGATTCGAAATTTTTTTTAGTTTCAATTAAATTATTCCTATATTCGTTATTATCGAAATATTTTTCACGAAAAAAAAGAAAAATAAGATTCGTTGGATATATAAATTCACTGTTGGACGAATTAAGGAGGATAGTTAACAACGATAAACGATTCGCGTTTATAGGCGCAAATGGATTAAAGATCACATCCTGTTCCTCTATTGAACGACGCTCTTGTGTTTGACACGTCTGTTCCATTAGGAGATGAACTGACCGTTTCCTCGAGTAAGGAGACTCGAAGATCTCTCTATCGAATTACACGACATGTATAAAAACATCAAATATTGCCATTGTCATATTTGATAAATTGGAAAAAACGGATAGTGTTCTCTATCTCCCTGAAATATGAATATATTATTAACGAATGTTAATCGTGATTCGATATTTAATTAAAAAAAAAAAAAAACGTTCTTGGAAACACGTTTAAAGCACGAAGCATTTATTCATGAGGTTAATTATACCAGAAGAAATAAAGCAAAATAACTTTTGGAGAGATAACGGTGTAATCAAGATTTTTTTTTTTTCGCGAATAAAGTAGTAAGAAGTTGGAGGAAAAATTAAAAATAAAAAAGAATAGATATTTTTAGATATTCGGATAAAGAACTTTATGTTGCTAATGTTAAAAGTTTTTATTTAAGATTTAAAGTTTAAATCCTCCCCCCTCCCCCCCTCCCCCCCCTTCTTTTCTTTCGTTTCCATCTTTCTATCTTTCCTCTCTGTTCGAGCAATTTTCTTTTAACCAAAGTATCGTCTTTCTAAGATTCGCCTTTATTATTCCATCCTCGTCGATATCATATATTATATATCGCGTGTCGTTCTTTCGCTCGCACGATAATGATGATCGCTCATGATCGCGCAATTATCGTTCGCGTAATGCCAGAGGAAATGAGATTTCGGGGAAATTCTCGGGTAATAGTCTACTTTGATCCACTCAGAGATAGCTGACATTCAATTTCGACCGCTAAAAGCAATTACGCGTCGCGTGCGACGATAGTGAAAAGTAGAAATTAAAAAGTAACGTTTAAAAAAATTAATGGGAAGAGAAATTATAGAAATTATTATTAAATTTATTATATCTATAAGGAATAATTTTTAAAGAAATTTCAATACTTTTAAACGAATTTTA